GTAAAAACAGTTTTAGCAGTCATTATCCGTGTATACCATTGTTTTGCGTTTACTACAGTTCAGTGGATCAGGAGGCGCTGGCTGGTGTGACTGAGTGGAGGCGGGACTAATTTGCATATTCATAGATTCGCGTATAGTAAATGAGGCAAGGGTGTAGAGTTACATTCATGCTATTTTAAGGCATGAGAAAATTATTTTCATAAGAAAAAACATTTAAATATGTCATTTTGATGATCAAAGATAAGTTTTAAGGGATAAAATATTTTGACTACAGGGGGACTTTAACATCCAACACCATAATTGCACCACGGTAGTGATAATACAACAAAACAACAGAAAAACCCAGCATGTGCATGATTCCACTGCGTTCAAAGACTCACTTTTAATCTGAATCTCTGTTAGCTCTCTCAGAATGGTCCGGAAGGACGGCCGTGCAGCAGGGTCGTATGTCAGACACATGCTGATAAAGCTCGCCAGCTCTTGAGAAGACGGCACCGCCAGGCGACTCTGCGTCTCATAGAATCGCTCTTTCTGTAGATGGAGGAGAGCTTATAAGAAAACGGTGCGAGTGTTTGGTGTCAGGTACACAGCTGGAGGAAGCCGTACCTCAGGCAGTGTGCTGCCACTGATAGGAAGATCTCCGTTGTTGCAGATTTCCAGAAGAGTCACTCCAAAGCTCCACTGGTCGGCAGCGCTTCTTATACGGGCCCCATCGGCGATACACTCCGGAGCGATCCACGGGATGCGCTCTACGCGCTCTTCATGTAAAACACGTATGAAACAAAGACTTTTACATTTTGTGAAGTAAATGCAATCCTTGGGTGTTCTGAGTGTTTTTAGTGGGTTGCTATGCATTTGCTAGGGTGTTCTGTGTGGTTTCTGGACTTGGATTTTCACTTAAAAAGTAATACAGCACCTCTCCTCAAAAAGCCACATGATTTGAGGCATCATTCATGTCTGAAACACAAACAGTGTGCTGAAGTTTAATAATTAGGGTTTCTGTCACTACACATTCTGGACAGGTGCTTCAGTGCTGTAAATATGATCATCCTGACACTAATAAATGCACTAGACTAAAGGAAGTGTGCATCACCATAAGGAAGTGGTTCGTTCGTAGCTTCCTGTTCTATGAACCATGAGAGAATCTGATGAAGTAAACAGTAGAAAAAGCCCCTTAACAATGGTTTGGTGCTCAGCTCATGAGGATAAGAAGGTGAATGATTGTGTACAGTTACGTACCTTTGTAATTTCCTTGTCCTTAATTTGATGAAACCGCAGTTGGCTCAGGTTTAGGGTTTCAGAGACCGTTTTAATGCTACTGTTGGCACCCTTTCTTATTACGAGAAGGTTCGATAGCTCTGCAAGAAAACCATAAAAACCCGTTAACAGGATGACTCACTAAATGATAAGAATCATGTACTTCTGTGGAATTTTTCTCCTAATCAGAGATGTACTCCAGGATGACTCAGAAGGTTTGACTGTGAAGTCTGCCGAGCAGAAAATACACACTCACCTCCTGGTCTGGGCAGGCAGCACTTCTTCAAAGTGAAGCGGTCTTCTCCAGACTTCAGCACGAAGGTCTTTAAGCTATTGGTGAGCTCCTTTATGCTAGAGAATTCTTGATCCCAGCCTTTCAGTCTGAACATGGAGCCCTTCAGCGTAATTCTGAACTGTTTGTATATTGGATTTTCTCCATCCTGTCAGAATCAAAGTCAAACAGAAATGACATTAGAGTTGAGATGAAACGCATGTAGCGACAGATCTTTTCTTCTGTACGGTGACGTACATCTGCGTGAAACAGATTATCAAAAAAAAAAAAAAATGAAGGGCGAGGACTTGGTTCTATGCATTGATTGTTGACTGGATTTTAAGATGAGGCCGCTGCATTCAAAAGTGGAGGCAGATGAATGTGAGCTTGTAGTCGATTTCAATAAAGGGGCGGAGTTCAAAGATTGGAGAAGTCAGGCATACACCACCAGAGAGCAATCTGTCATTTTCACTAAAAGATCTACATTCTATATTGTATACATGTATAATATGGTTTCTATGGGATTTTTTATGGGATGTCTTCTGTAGCACAAAAGATGTGGGATTAGTCAAGCAGTTTACGCAATAGGCGACAACCATTTATCTCACCGCCTCTTGTGTTTATAGGCACTTTTCCATACACCCGAGAAGTGATCAAATACAGTATTAAATAGACTTTCTGACCATATAATATGCAAATGGCATGTGATTGATTGAGAATAAAGTCATCTTCCATTGCTCAATGATCTGCAGCAGCCACAACAAGGTCTTTCGCATTGTGCGCCACTATCAATTGTACACGACAAAATAGAAGGATTCTCACAAACAAGCTTGACCCTGTCGTGTCTCTTCCACTGAAACTTCATTGTAAACTCGCAGTTGTCACCTAGCTGTAAGTCAAGCCAAAGCATGTTTGCCTGGCTATCAAGTAAATTCCTTTTACATGCATAAGCTTAATTATTAAGCACCATTAATTATACTTAACGTATTTCGCAATCATTTCACAATTCTTTAATTCAGCCAATCAAATCATTGTCAGAGTTAACACTGAAACCTCTAACTAGAGCATTACCTTTGTTTGACTCAGAGATGCCAGGATTATGCGATCGTAATCCAAAACACTCCAGCGCACAATAAACGCTCCATCCTCTGCTTCTTTCTTTAGTTTTTGGAGCACATACTCATCCCTGGAAGCAAGAAAAAGAGTGAACACATTAATAAAAATGGTGGAAGACCACATGGCTGCATGTGGAAATGCGAGTGACGTACAGTATGGGACCGTGCAGGTCATTGGTCCCACTGAGAACCACTCTGGGCGGAGCCACTTCGTGACAAAGATAATGATGCGCGTCGGTTGTAAGGCGGAAATATCCATCCAGCAGTGAAACCAGAGAGCGAGCCTGAAGTCTGGAGCCCAAACGCATGTCCTGGAACACAAATATATAAAGGTGGGTCACGTATCATAATAAAAACACAAGAGATAAAAACCAAATACAGCTTTACCAGACTGTTTACCATTGACATGTTGTCTTGGCGACTGATGCAGACGTTTATGCCCTGAATGGCAATATGAGAGATCGCAGGGAAGTCGCAGAAGGTGTTCCAGTTGTCCATTTCCTGTTCATCAGGTGGCTGTGCTTCTCTGTTCTGTTTATAAATATAGTCATTCCCCTGGAAAGTGGGAAGAATTTAAGAGTACAGTTCTACTAGCGAAGAAGAAGGTTAAATATCTACTGCATCAACTTACCCATTGTGCTGATGTCTTCCTCCAACATATGCCGGTTGATCCAGACACTCTGATCTCATGAGTAGGTTCACTGTTCACGGTTTGTGTTTGGGAGGCAATGGGGTACGACCCACTGCCATCTCCATCAGATCTCAGGTCAAGACTGAACACAGGGAAGGTTTCGGCACCAAATTTTGGTGCCAGACGCTCCAGCGTGGATATATACTTATACATAACTTCTTGTGACCCAAACTTTCCCATGCCCACCGTGTGCTCCTGGAAACTGCTTACAAAGTTTGCAAACACGCGCCGAATACGGAACCTTGTCAGGACATTGTTCCGAGCAATGTGTCGGGAAAAGGATTGAGGGATACAATGGAGAAAGCTGAAAGATGGAGCACAAACATGTCAATACGCTTGATGGAACTCTATTCTATATTGTAATGGCTATCAGCATTGTTAAAAATAATATAAAATTGCACATTTTAAAGTGTTCTATGAAATCCACTCATATATTGCAGAGTTTTAGATACAACTAAACGAACTCGGACACATTTATAATCTGGACAACAACAGGTTCACACCATAAGGAATGCATTTTTCCTTTCAAGATAAAAGAGCTTAAAGGGGTCATATGATGTTGCTAAAAAGAACATTATTTTGTGTATTTGGTGTAATGAAACGTGTTTAAGGTAAAAAAAAAAAAAAAACATTATTTTCCACATACTGTACATTATTGTTTCTCCTCTATGCCCCGCCTTTCTGAAACGCGTCGATTTTTACAAAGCTCATCGGTCAGAAAAAGCGAGGTGTGCTGTGATTGGCCAGCTATCCAGTGCGTTGTGATTGGCCGAATACCTCAAGCGTGTGATGGAAATATTACGCCCCTTACCATATTGTGATGCCGTGTTCCGGAGTGACGAGACAAAAACAAACATTAAAACCCATTACAAAAGAGGCATTTGTTGCATCCAGTGGGGACATAAATAC